CCTCTGGGGCGTCAGCTAACGAGTCCCAATTAAGTTGAGTGATAGAGAGGGTCACGGACTCGTCGTGTGCCGTATTGTGATATCCAACATGTTTGGGGAAGGACGACTAACCAAAGAGCCGAGCTGTAAGCCGAGGATTAGTGACGATGGGAAAATGTTACAAAATGAACGGTGAAATGGAGTTAAGAATTCATTTGCTTAGAGGTGGGGTAAAGTCAATGAGTCAAACAAGGTAAAATCAACAACCATATATTCTGTCAACCCCCTTAGAGTTCCCCTTACACAAAATTCTTCTTTCTTTTATACAATGATGAAGTTTTAGGTCAATGACGGGGCCGACGTTGAGTCGCCCTTGACCGCGCCGGTGGGGCCCGTCCGGCAATCCTTTTTAACCGCTCGAATGCGGCGTTTTTCTGCACGGGAGTGGAGCGGGTCGTTCGCTGGGCGGTGGGCCGACTTCGTGACTCGGGCTCAGAGTCGTCCAGTAAGACGGGTAAGTCCAAAGCCCGTTTGTGCGCTGGTGATGGTCCAAGTCGGGAGAAAACTGGGGGGCCGTTGGTCGGCCGAAGGGAGTCGGTCTTCTTCGGGATAGTGTATCCTGATAGGGGCCGAGGTCGCCGGTTCTCTTTGTCGGTCTCCTCGTCCACTAAGATGGGCAGATCCAGGGCCCGTTTAAGGGTCGAAGACGGCAAGGTCCTGGAGGTACACGGGAAGCAAGCCAACTCAACTATCTCCGGGGATGGTGATCGCCTGATTGGTGAGCCGAGGTCCAACCTGATTATGTCGTCGTCGCTGTCGGATGACAGGGCTAGATCCACGGCTAGATTTGCGAGCGGGGTCAATGCCCGTGGAGCCAGTGGTGGAGGTGGGACGTCCGGAAGTCCTCCGACGGGTGTACTCGAGCTCCGGGTAGGCCTTACCCCGATATTCCCAATCCAGGGAGTCTCCTTGACGAGCGGTTGGCCTGAGTTCTCTGGCGGTCCGGTGGCAGGGGCCTTCGACACAGAGTGTCTCGCTGACCTTATCTGTGGGGCCGGCGTAGGAGGGGCCGGCTGTGGTAGTGAGACACTCGGGGGTCCCTTGACTGACAGTAATCCGATCCTGGGCAGGTCTCGTCTCGATGCTCCGGATCCGGGGCAGTACTCGGGCAGGTGGTGCGCCTGGGGCCTTTGGTGGACCCGAGTGAGACACGCCGGGAACCTTGGTCTCGACGTTCTCGTCAGTGCGGGGTGCGATGAACGGGGGGCGGTTTGCAGGTCGGTGCGGGTGCACCGTTACCGGGGGCTTCTTCTCTGGGGTCAACTTCAGTGGAGGTGATGGAGCCACATAGGGCTGCCTGTCGAGCTCCTGTAGAAGGGCTTCGAGCTCCTGGAGGACAGCGGGGGTCCTGGCTACTGGTCCCCAGGACGGTCCTCTGGAACGGGTGACGTCCTCTTGGACGACCTTGATGGGGGCCGAGGTATCGGCGGCCGGTCCTGAAAACTGCACTCCCTGTGGGGCGACGTATCCTCTGACGACCTCGATTGGAGCCAGGGGATTGAGAGCTGGCTCCGAAGATGACGCTCCTGGACTAGTGAGGTACTCTTCGGCGACCTGGAGAGGAGCCGTGAGACTGGGGACTGGTTCCGGCGATGGTGCTCCCTGGCCGATAAAGTACGCCTTGATGCTCGTGATTGAGGTTACAGAGTTGGAGGCCTTCTCCAATCGGCGGAGCAGCTTCTGTTTGCTTTTGTACGCCTGTATTTTCCAGCCGCGGGCCCGATTCTTCAGTAACTGCCTCTCACTTCGGTGTTGTCCCATCTATTAATCACAGCAAGTTTAGGGTTAGTTGGGGGGTCCATTCTTCAGGCGAGTGTAGTGTTTGGACGGCGTGGTATCGGACTAGGTCCCAACCCAAGGCCGTTCGTGTGGTAGAGATGAATCATGCGTCAAGTAGGACTTCCTATGATTTGCGCATGCGCGTAGGTGGATAATGTCTCAGAAGGGTTTGGACGGTCTTGCACCGGGCTTCGCCCGGCCTGAGATCGTTGGTGTGGTGTGTGTGAGAACGGGTGCACAATCATGCATTTAAGTAGAACTTAACCTATGATTTGTGCAGGCGTGGAAGTGTAAAAGTGTTTTGAAAATTGTTTCAAACGGTCTTGCGCCAGGCGTGGCCCAGCCTAAGATCGTTGGTGTAGTGTGTGTGAACGGATGCACAATCATGCATTTAAGTAAAACTTAACCTATGATTTGTGCAGGCGTGGAAGTGTAAAAGTGTTTTGAAAATTGTTTCAAACGGTCTTGCGCCAGGCGTGGCCCAGCCTAAGATCGTTGGTGTAGTGTGTGTGAAAGGTGAGGGTGAAGTGCTATATTGCTTACCGTGTCGGAAGGCAGGAAGATTAAAACCACAGAAAGTCACTGTTCTTTTGGGTTTCACTTTATTTGTGTCACACAGAGAGATCCGGAAAATCGGAAAATCGATGACTGAGAGCGATGGTTAAAACGCTGCCCCTTTTATACCCGTAGGGTCGCCATATTTTGGCGCCCCCATGGAAGGGGTAGAAATTTTCGCCCTTGCGCATTACTCATGAAAACCATCGATTCGCATGGATTTTTCGTCTTTCTTTATCTCAAACTATTACAGAAAATCCTTAAAACTAATTATAAAAACAGTATTAATTCTAATAACGTAAAATAATAATACTAACAATAATCGTGACAAAGTAATGAAAATATTAATGAAGATAATATTGAAAATAATAATAACAAAATAATATGAATAATAGTAATAGTACTAAAATAATAATAATAATACTAATGATAATAGTACTCATAGGGGTTGTAATACAACATTAACAATAATAAAAAAAAAATTAATGGTAATAAGAATATTGATAAGAACGGGAGAAAAATATATAATAAAATAAAAAATAAAAATAAAATTAATTTAATAAAATAAAATTAATTTAATAAAAATAAAATTAATTTAATAAAAATAAAATGAAATAAAGGAATTAATTCTAAGAAACAACGCGAATAATAATTTTTAAAACTTACAACTAGAAAAACTTTTATTCTACGCTTAAAACCGGAGAAAGTTGTACCGCTGGAAAATGTGGTCGGTTCCTTCCGCGTTGGTGCGAGAGAGAAACACATGAGAGAGAGTGAGACACAACGATTTTATGTCAAAGTTGCGAAGGTCGTTGTATTGTTACCGGAGGGCCCGGGTGGCCTGACATTGGTGCGAGAGAGAAGGAGCTATGAGTTGAGTGATGACTCATTATAGGCCATCACCATAGCTCTATATTACGTGAATAAGGTGTTTGCTATTCACATAGTATGTTTTTCGGTTTGGCGCCAATTTGGGGAAAACCCGTCTGGCCCGTGGTATAACATTCTCTTTGGTGGTATGTAGACAGCCAGGACGTATAATGGTCCATTGTTAGTTTTTATTTTGCATCCTATAGCATCCATTACTCCGCTCCATGTTCCCGTGAATTGAATTTTCTCGAGTATTAAATTTTTCTTGGTTAATGTCATCACCCCACCTCCTGTTCATGGACCCGGCCTGTCGCATCTCATAGCAATGAATCCTCTTAGATGCCAGTTATTTATGTCCGGAGTCAGCCAAGTCTCAGTTATTGCAATAAGATCCTGATTGTTCTTCTTGTGTTTGAGTTGATTGTTTTTCTTTGTGTGAGTTGTATTCCAATTCTCCTCCGTGTAGCAGTCCCAAGTCTTGTACGAATGTAGATTGGTTTACATGACGACCTTTCGGTGTCATTTGATGGTCCTTCCCTGGACTTTCTGTAGATTTTTCTCTTGAAAAACGTCTTGGATTGTTCCATCCTTTCTCCAGTAATTTGAATCGAGCTAAATCCTCAGAGATGTTATTGATATATCTCTCTCTCTCTCTCATTATTTCAAATTCATATTTGTAAACTGAGCAATCCTTAGGGGATGCCTTGTGGTCTTTTGTACAGTTGGAGCACTTATTACCAGGTCGAGGGTTATTGCATGAGATGGTGATGTGTTTTTCGGTGCAGTGTTCACAATTCACATATTGGTGGAGTGGCTTTACACTGTTGCGATACATGTCCAAAATGTTGGCAGTAGTTACATCTTTAAAGGCGAGAACACAATCCATGGGTACGCGAGCGACGTGAACGTAAACGTATGACGTCACCCATTTAGTTAACATTGTGACGTCAGCACGTTACACGTTCACGTAGGCTATTCTGTTCTCGCCTTTAGGCCGCAGTCCCATGGCAGCGTTTTGCGTTGCGTCGTAATGGGAGAGAAAAAGACGCAAATATACGTTTGCTGCATTCTCTCCCATTACGACGCAACGCAAAACGCTGTCATGGGACTCCAGCCTTAGGTATCGGTATGGATGGTGTTACGAAGACTCGTACACTCCAGATGAAGATAAATCTAGGGACAAAGATCGTTCTAAATATTAGGTCAATGATGTCGGATTCTTGGTCGTTTCTTCTATTGGTCCTTCTTCTTGCTGTGATTAGCATTTGTTTTTGGTCTTCATCCATATTGTTTACGATGTCCGTAACTGAATGTTCAGGGCAAATCCTTATAAAACCTTTTTTATACAATAAGGATTCTGGGATGAATGTTCTGTAACCTTTTTGTTTGAGTAATTCCGACTTTAGGAGTATATTAGCATCAATTTTATCTTGGCACCAAATTTTTACTTGGTTTTTACCACTTGTGAAGATTCTTCTTTCATCCTTAATTAATTGAGCAATTAATTTTCCCAGAGCAAGAGGGTCGTATCTTCCTATATTTCTATCTTCTCTGGTCGACTCCATAAGGATCAGGTAAGGCGGTTCGTTGTACTCATCATATTGAATCAGTATGAGGACATCGTAATCTGGAGCGTTCCATTCTTGGTTGGGGTCTTTTATAATTTGTTGTGTCCCAGTGCCTTCCGTAGCGGATGGAAAATTTTGTTGTCGAGATGTCATATTGTTTCGGTAACCGAGTGTTCGGGGCGAATCCTTATGAATCCTTTTTTGTATGGTAGGGATTCTGGGATAAATGTTTTGAATCCCTTCTCTTTAAGTATCTCTGATATTAGAAGTGAGTTCGCATCGACTTGCTTCGACAAAATGGAGTTGGAGGTCGCAAAGATGATAATGAAGTCTTGCAACATTCAGAAGAACGCCAATAGGACAGTAAAAGATGGACTCAAAGTCCTGCTGAAAGAGGCAAAAGTGAAGTATGCTGACATTTTGGGTAAACTTTGCAAAGAGGTCAACCCGGACGTCTGTCATACGAGAATAGTATCAGCAAAAGCTACAAAGAAGGAAGACTTTCTGATTAAGATAATAAGATCAGAGGAGACTCCAACAAGGACGCTTTTACCGCTGAGGTCACCAAGGCGGTTGGAAGCATGGGTAAGGTGCAGTCGATTTTATCTTTAGCATCTAATCATTAAAGAGAAACTGAACCAACTCCAAGCAATGGTTTTTAGAGGCTATGAAGACCACGCCAAAAAATAAATTCAACTTAAATGAAATTACACACATATTTACACAATGTTTTTTTTATTAAAATCTTTATTGTTACTTTCTGTGGTATTATCTTAAAAAATAATTAACATAGGCTAATGGCGAATCGTGAAGTGAGAGTGAAAATATGATTCAGATTTTTTCTACACTTTTATTTTCATCCTCATTCTCATTATTATTATTATCATCATCATCATCATCATCTTTACCATAATTGAGATTTTTATACAAACTCTGCACATACCTTATTTTGCTTCATCGTTCATTTTAAACTATGATGCCATCAAATGTCCTAAGTTTAGAGAGGTTGATAGTGAAAACGATTTGTTGGTTAAAGTTGCTTATATGAGTAATATAATGTTTTATGTAACATGTAAAAAAGGTCTGAGTGAGTAATAATATACAAACGAAAAAGATAAACGTCTTTTAAAGTATTTCTCCGAGGAAGAATTTTTAGCAATTATTACGAAAAACAGTTTCTAATATTTGGGTTCGAATTATTATCTACAAATTTCTAACAAATTGCAACTGAAGAACTGCCAATAACAGAAAACACACTTTGGATTCTTAACAAAATTTGAAAAATTAAATTTATTAACTAAATGTCCTCTGAATTTGAATTCGATGTACGTTTTAAATTTCAAAATAACAGATCTAATATGGCGACCAACATTTTTGAAAGTTGACGGATTTGTCTAAAATATTTACTCTGAGGTTTTTGGGGATACTATCCCTCTGCGCAGGGAAACATCTTTGTTTTTTCTAAATTTCTTTATTCTGTCAAATTCGGATTCAGAGATCCTGAAAGCATCCGAGAAACCAATTTCGATTGATTCGCTTCAATCTTGAAATTATCCGCCATATTTGATCGCCATCTTTAATTTTGAAAATCTGAAATTTAAACTGAAATTCAGCAAAAATCGGTAAAACAAAATTCGAATTATGTTGCCCGACTGTTTCGTTCTACTAAATAAACTAGAAATTATTTAAAAAATTTTAAAGTTATCTAAAACTCTGTTTGATACTCATTTTTAATTTAAAAAAAAATTTTTTAATGTTTGAAGAAATGGAAATACCAAAAGTTTTGAATAATTATTATTTAATGTAAAAACTCTGATGTCTTGAACTAATATTACATTAAAATTGTGCAATTACATTTTTTTTAATTTTTATGAAATTAAAAAAAAAATTTCATTAAAGTGTTATTTTAAGTTAAAAACTATTTTATAGTTTTAGGTTATGTTAACATGCTACACCTTTAAGAGAAAGATTTTAATTTAATTTACGATTTAATTAAATAAATGTCCTTTTCGGTAAATAAGAATTTTTTATTATAATTAATAAATTCCAGACTTCACACTCAATAATTAATTTTAAAAAAGTAGTAAAAAAGTATCCCATTAAAAAATTAAATTCGACGACAAAAAAACTTGTATGACACGATTTACAAGAATGACAAAAATTTGATTCTGTATTTCCTTAAATTCAATAAAAAATAATCTTTTTGTTTCTTATCCTGGTAATAACTTTAATTCTAAATTTTTATGAAATTCAATTATTTATTTATTTTCAAAACTTTTAGTTAGTATTTTTCAAAAATTGGATTATATATGAAAAAAATAATTATTAGTACGAAAATAATTTTTTTTAAATAAAAATTTACTTCAACTAAATTTGACAAAATGTCCAATTTATTACAAATTTAAATAAATATTTTTAATTTTTAGAATAATTCAACTATAAATTATCTAAAATTGTAACCGAAATTAATTTTTATATTAATTCTTATTAGAAGGTTCTATACAAAAATTCAATTATTTAAATACAAAAATAAACAGTTGATAGAATAATTTTTTTTAGAATTGAATACCTACTTATCAAGAATTTAATCAACATTTTTGTAAATAATTGATTTTTTCGAAGAATTTTAATAAAACTTTTAAAATTAATTACATTTTTTGAGAAATTAATTTAAAATTGTATTAAACATAATTGAAATCATGTGAAGAATTTTATTATTTTTCAAAATAATTGAAATCTTGCGTCGAATTTTATTCAATATTTTTAAATAATTGAATTTTTTAAAATCATTTTATGAAAATTTAAAAGAATAATTTATTTAAAATTAAATTTAAAATAATTGAATTATTGCGAAGAATTTTTATTATTTATGAAAATAATTTAATTCTTATAAAGAAATGTCATCAAAAATTTAGAAAATAATTACATTTTTTTTTAATTTTATTAAAATATTTTAAATAATTGATTTCTTTGAATTTTTTTTTAAAATTGGTTTTCAAATAATTGAATTCCTATGAAAATTATTTTATCTATAAAAATAATTGAATTCTTGCATCAAATTTTATTAAATTTTTGTAAATAATTTAATTTTTTTAATCATTTCAAGAAAATTGAAAAGTGAAGAATTTTATTATTTTTAAAAATAATTAAAATCTTGCGTCGAATTTTATTAAATACTTTTAAATAATTAAATTCTTTAAAATCATTTTATAAAAATTTAAAAGAATAATTAAATCATTACGAATAATTTAATTAAAAATGACTTTAAAATAATTCAATTCTTGTGAAGAATTTTTATTATTTTTGAAAATAATATAATTCTTATAAAGAAATGTCATCAAAAATTTAGAAAATAATTAACTATTTTTAACGAATTTTATTAAAATATTTTAAAAAATTGATTTCTTTTGAATTTTTTTTTCAAAAGTGGTTTTCAAATAATTGAAATCATGCGAAAATTGTTTTATTTATAAAAATAATTCAATTCTTGCATCAATTTTTATTAAATTTTTGTAAATAATTGATTTTTTAAAATCATTTTATGAAAATTGAAAAGAATAATTCAATTATTTCGAATAATTTAATTGAAATTGAATTTAAAATAATTGATTTCTTGCGAAGAATTTTAATATTTATGAAAATAATTAATTCCTTTCAAAAAATGTTTTTACAATTTTTTAAATAATTTGAATTGCTGTAAAAATTTTATTATGTTTATGATAATTTAATTCTTGAATTGAATTTTATTAAACTTTTTTTAAATATTAGAAATTTTTTAAATCATTTTATGAAAATTGAAAAGAGTAATTAAATTATTTCGAGAAATTTAATAAAAAAATTTATTAAAAATAATTGAATTCTTGCGATGAATTCTAATATTTATGAAAATAATTCAATTCTTATAAACAAATGTTTTCAAAATGAAAGAAAATAATTAATTTCTTCCAAAAGGATTTTCTTAGAATATTTTAAATAAAAAAATAAAAAAATTTTCTCGAAAATTGGATTTCAAATAATTGAATTCCAGTAAAAGTTTTGATTATTTATGAAATTAGTTAAATTTTGCGTTGGATTTTTATGCATTTTTTTCTAAAATAATTGAATTCTTTTGAGAAATTTTATTAAAATTGTAGATATTGAAAATATTTTAATTTCAACGAAGACTTTCATTATTTGTAAAAATAATTCAATTCTTTCGAAAGATTTTCAAAAAAATTTTGAAAATAATTGAATTGTTTCAAAGAATTTTATTTAAAAAAATTTTAATTGTTACTAAAAGAAGAATTTTATCAAAATTTTTAAGAATAATTTTTTTATTTCATCTATTGCAACTTTAAAATATAGATTTTCAAAAAGAAAAAAAGAAAAAAGTATCTTTTAGTGTTAAAAATTTTTTAAAAAAGTATCTAAATATTAACGAATTGGATAAAAAGTAGTAAATTGTAGTTTTTAGTAAATGAGTGCGAAGCATGAAATTCAGAAACAGCATTTTTTTAAAAAAATCAAAAGAAATAAATTTTCGAAAAATTATTTTTTTGTAACAATGGCAATTTTTCAAAGAAAATAAACCATAAATTTAAAGTTTGGTACAAAAAACATTACATTGTACAAAATATTTATTATCACTATTTCATATAATATATAATAATCCAATAATAATAAAAATAAATAAAAAAAAAGTAAAATTAAGTATCAATTTATATTTCAGAATACAATGTAAATATTTACATTATAAATACAAAACACTGTTTCTGTCTAATAAATTTTAATTATAAACTCCCTTAATATTTATTGTCTAAACGAGATGTCAAAAATTATATAAAGAATTTATTTGAAGAATAATATTGAAAATTAACAATTGTCATATAACATTAGTTTTGCTTTTTTTTCGAATGTGCATTTTTTAAATTAAAAAAAAAATATTTTTTCAGAAGTTTTATCAGTATACAAAATAAGTACTGAGTACAGGCGAGAAACAAAAAATTCTACTTTTCAACGCAGAATATTGAAAAAAGTGCAAAAACAAAAAAAAATGAAAATTCCATTTGGAGAAATACTTTATAAAGCAGAGAGAAACATTATACACGACATAGAATATTTTTTTACTGACCAAAGCTATCAAATTATAAATTGTAAATTCTTAAAAGAAAAAATAATAAAAAAAAATTTCACTTTTCTATAATCAACAAATTTTTTTATAACGAAAATTAAAATCTCTTTAACAAATTTAAAAGCGTTTCTCTCCGTTAACTAAAATCACACCTTGTTTTTTTTCTTTGATAAATATGTCGGAATTATAATAAAACAAAAAAAATTTTTTTTGCATTTTCAGTTTTTATAAATTACAGTATTTTTATCAATCGTAGAGCAGTATTTTCTTTTGTACCTCCGATTAACGCTACGAAATTTTTTTTTTCATATACAATAAAATGTAAAACTTACTTTTCTACTGTAGAAAAAAATAAATCCAAGATGTGATTTTCAGTGAACGCATATATCAATCTTGGAAAGCCAATTTTTTTTAAATATAAAGTAATATCGCACTAATACTCTTAACACAGTATTACAAAAGATCTATCTATATATATATAAAAAAATAAAAAAAAAAATAACTACAGTTCAAAAAAAAGGGTGGACACGTATGAGACCTTTTTTTTCTTCTTAACACACAAATGAGAACGAAGGAATGGATCGATAATAGTTTAATTAAACGATTCCGTAGAGAAGAGACCGATGCTTTAGCTTATTTTTACAATTTTCGATGCGTGCGTCTCTTCTCCTTTTATTTTTTTTTAAAAACTATTGACAATCACACTTTTTTTTTGTTTTCTTTTTTTTTTTAGTCTTATCCATTTCTTTTCTTGAAATTTGTCTTTCGTTTCATTTCGAATCTTATTTTCTCTCATACTTATTATAAACACAAAATTTATACATTCACATTTTTTTTCATTTACTCCAGTGACTCAATGCGTTATTTTATTTTTTTCAACTACAAGAAAAAAAAATTTTTCGTTTTTGTTGTCAAACTCATGTCAAGTGATGACGCTATTTATTTTTCACTCTCCCTCTATAGTAAATTTTCAATAAAAAAAAGAGAGAAAAAAAGAAATGAAAATTAGAGGGAGAGAGAGAAAATGATTGGCAATAAGTTTGGAAGTGCTGCTGTTATACTAAAAAATTTTATGACAAGGAAAGAAAAAAAGAATTTTTTTTTTTAAATCAAGACTAGGTGAAGAGCGAATCACTTTCTTTGTCACATAAACTCTATGTGTACACTTGCAAGCTTGATATTTTATATTTTTTCACAATGACAAATAACTATTTATTTTCGAGTGAAAATGAAAACAATCGCAACATTTTTATATTTAAGGTGGAAAAAAATTATTTTTAATTTTTTATATTCAGTTAAACAATATTAATCTAGAGCTTTTAATTAATAATCATTAATCTAGAGCTTTTAATTAATAATCATTAATCTAGAGTTCTTAATTAATAATTAATAATTAAAAATTAATAATTAAAAATTAATAATTAAAAACTAATAATTAAAAATTAATAATTAAAAATTAATAATTAAAAATTAATAATTAATAATTTATATTTAACAATTAATAATTAAAAAATAATTCATACACTAATTTAGAAAAATATATCTTAAAGAAGATAAGATCACAAATTTTTATTTCAATTTTCACTCGAATTCATTTAATATTAATTCTGGTGCATTTTTATAAATATTCGATTATGAAAATACTTGTACAATCTAAGAACGAAATATTTTTGACAAACGTGTTTAGACATTTTTTTTTCAAAAAGAAATTTCTTTTTCAAAAACAAGATTGAAGAAATATTTCAATAATCTTAAAAATTTGCCCAGAATTACAAAAGAATTTCTCCGGTTACTATTCTAAAAAAAAATTTTCTTCACGTTTAGAAGTAATTTAGAAAAGTTTCTCTAAGCATTGAGTGGAAAAAAATTACTCCTTCAAGGCATTTTTAAAATTTTTAGCATTAAATCAAAATATTTCGCAAGAATTTTAAAAGTTAACACTTAAAGTAACATTTTCTTGAAAATTTCGAAAAAGAAAAGAACAGTTCCTTAAAGAATAGTAAATGGAAAACGTCGCTTATTAAAAAAAAGAAAAAATCCGCCAAAAAATAAAAATAAAAAGCTGCTCAAGTATTTGAAAGTGAATGATCTATGTTTTGATACTGTAAAAAAGAAAATGCAACCATTTTTCAGTCGTCGATTGTTTACAAACCTTTAAATTGTACACTAATATAGAACTATAAAACTATCCGTCTGATCCCCCTGGAAAATTAAATTACTCGGCAAAAAAAAATTAACAACTTCTTATTTTGAAGAAACATTGTTTCGAAAATAACCGATTTGGTTGATTAATTTTTGCTTTTCTTTTCTTTTTTTTCAATAAAAAAAAGGGTAAAATTCTTGTGGGGAAGCACGATAAAATTATTTTCTTCTTGTTTTCCTTTTCATACGCGTAATTGCGTCCATCACACATTTTTACCTACAATAAATGTGTCTGCGTATCAAATTTTTTTGTAATGTTAAAATTATTTATTTTTTTTATGGGCACACACCGAATCAATTCTATTGCCACCACTCGTCCTTTCGTCGACCATCATTGTTTTTAAGTTTTATTAGCCATCTTCCTTGGGCGGTGTGAACCAGCCTGGAAACAAAAATTTTTGTTAAATTTGTGCTTGTATTTTTCTTATATTTTTAAAATTGATTTTATGATACTAAGGAGGATTTTAAATCAAAAATATAAAAATAAATTTTTTTTAAATTCTTGACCAAAATGTCCTTTTAATATTTTAATAGTTTTTTTCCAAAAAAACTTCTTTAACTTTTTTTTGAACTTTTTTTTTACTGATAAAATCATTATTTTATATTATAAGAATATTGTTACTGTAATCAAACTTACTTTCATCACTTCAATTTAATTATTATTTTCTACAATTTTTAACTAAAACTCTAAATCAATTTTATTTTTAACAATTTTTGAAAAATTTCTTTGGAAATTTTCAAATCCTTTTGTTTAAAATTTAATTTTACGAAATTACATCGATTATTCGGAAATTCTTCCGTAAATAAATATTAAAAAAAATAAAAACTTCTACTAGAATTCAATGATTCAAATACAAAATTAAATAATTTATTGAACAAATGAATGTTTCTTAAAATTCAATTCCCATAAAGAATTCTATCAACAAATTCTTAAATAATTTAATTCTTTCGACGAATTTTTATAAAAATTTTAAGAATAATGACATTTTTCGAGAAATTTGATTTAAATTGTCTTAAAAATAATAGAAAATTCCGCAATGAGTTTTACGATTTGTGAAAATAATTGTAATCCCTAAGAAGAATTTTATTATTTTTACCAATATTTAATTTTTGTAAACAATATTATTACTCTTGAGAATAATTGAATTTCTGCAATAATTTGTAACTTTTCCAAAATTAAATTTTTTTTCGTGTTTTCAACTAAAATTCTTCTATAAATGCATTATTTTTAATAATTTTTGCAATTCAATTTTACAAAATTTCAATTATGTATTTGTAAATTCTTCAACTAAATATATATATATATATATATTAGGAAATAAAAACTTGAAATAATTTCTAAATAAAATCCGCAATTGAACTTTCTCAAAAAAATTAATTCCACAGAATTGTTAGTTAAAAATATGGAAAATTCAGATTTTCAAAGATTTTAATTTGAAACCTTTTCAAAATTCAAATATTTCTAAAAATTCGCGCTCTGATACTTTTAATATTCAATTACAATCTAAAATTTTAACTAAAATTCATATTTAAATCAATTTTTATTAGAAAATTCTACTAGAATTCAATTATTTAAATACAAAAAAAATATTTATTGAATAATTGCATATTTTTTAAATTGAATTCTCATAAAGAATTTTATAAATATATTTTTCGAGGAATTTGATTAAAATTGTATTAAAAAATAATTGAAATTTTGCAATGAGTTTTATTTTTATTATTTAATGAAAATAATTGAATTCCTAAAAACGATTTTATTATTTACAAAAATAATTGAATCCCTGTAAAAATTTAATTATTTATGAAAATAATTGAATGATTGCAAAGAAATTTATAAAAAAATTTTAAATAATTGAATTCCTGTGAGAAATTTTTATTATTTTATGAAAATAATTAAAGGTTTGCGTAGAATTTTATTAATTTTTTTTTAATAATTAAATTCTTTTGGCCAATTTTATTAAAATAGTAAATATTGAAAATCATTGATTGAGGAAAATTTTTGAAAATAATTGAAATTTTGCCACGAATTTTATTAAAAGTTTTGAAAATAATTGAATTTCAGCGAAGAGTTGAATTATTTCTAAAGATAATTGAAATTTTGACGAGAATACTAGAATTCAATTATTCAAAGACAAAAATAAATAATTTATTGAACAATTGAATGTTTTTTAAAATTGAACTTTCATTTAAAGAATTTTATCAACAAATTTTTAAATAGGTAATTAAAATTCTTTTGAAGAATTTCAATAAAATTTTTAAGAATAATTTCATTTTTCGAGAAATTAGATTAAAAATGCATTAAATATAATTGAATCTCAGTAAAAAAATTTTGATTAAATGGAGAAAAGTTTTTGAAAATAATTGAAATTTTGGCAAGAATTTTATAAAATTTTTGAAAATAATTGAATTTTGGAGAATAATTACATTTTTTGAGAAATTCCATCAAAATTTGTATTAAAAATAATTGAAATTTCCGCGATGAGTTTTATTATTTATGAAAATAATTGAAAACCTATAAAGTTTTTTATTATTTATGAAAATAATTGAATCTCTGTAAAAATTTTGATTATTTATGAAAATAATTGAATTAATGCGAAGAAATTTGTAAATAATAGAATTCCTGAGAAATTTTGATTATTTATGAAAATAATTGAATGTTTGCGTAGAATTTTATTCAAATTTGTTTTAATAATAATGGAATTCTTTTGGAAAATTGAATTATTGCGAAGAAAAATTGTAGATGCAACTCTTTTAAAATTTAATTAATTTTGAGATATTTAAGAAAAATTAGATTTTAAGAATAAGCACAATAATTTTCCAGAATTTTGATCAAAATTCCCTGACTTTTCCAGGTTTTTTCAAGGTTTATAAAATTTAATGACATTTCCAGGTTTTCCAGGTTTTCCAGGTTGCGTGACAACCCTGACGACGTCGACTTCCCCAAGGTTTGAAAATTTTATTTTCCATTAAACGCATGGTATCAGAAAATAATTTTTAATAATTTCTAGGAATTATTTATTTTAATTTAGAAAGCACTGTTGGTCGCCAACGGTTCAATTGAATTAAAATTAAGAATTTTATCAACAAATTTTTAAATAATTGAACTCTTTCGACGAATTTTAATAAAATTTGTGAGAATAATGACATTGTTCGAGAAATTCGATGAAAATTGTATTAAAAATAATAGAAATTCTGCAAATGAGTTTTATTAATTATTTATGAAAATAATTGAATAATTCCTAAAAGAAATTTTATTAGGGGAGACTGGGGCTAAATATTAAACTGTCAAAACTGTTAAAATTCTTTACCTTTCGAACGGAAATAGTTAGAGTATTGTAATTTTGATTATAGAATGGTGTTTTCACTCTAAATAAATGTCCGAAGTTATGTGACATTCTGTTCATTTTTGTAAATAATTGAATTTCTGCGAAGAATTTTGTTATTTATAAAAATAATTGTCAACCAATTCGCACTTTTTTTCAGTTCCCACTTCACCTTCAGTTCTTCACTTCATAACTTTTAAAAGTTTTAATTTTGTTTTCTAAATTTTTTCTGTATTCTTTAATTATTATTAATAAACAACTTGCAAAAAAAAATACTAAAAATGTTAAACTTTCTTTTTTATCCTACTCGAAAAACGCCTAAAATTGAGGCCACTAGACCAGAATACCTTCTTTAAAAATCGCTTCGTTTAACCTATTTTTGAACGTAATTCGATCAGAAATTACGATATTGAAAAGAATATTAAGGGGACTTTCTAACCAAAAATTTAAAAAAAATAGATTTTTCTTTTTTTTTGCTTTAAAATGTTCCATAGTATCATAAAATTACTGCCCTGAATTGACCAGAAAACACATAATTTTTTTGTTTTTTTTTGTTGAGAAAAATGTATATAAAAATTGTAGAACATTTTTAAAAACGGTTTATGAAGAGAATATCCAAAAGAAATTTTTGCAATAATTATAATACATTTTTTTCAATGAGTTTAAAAAAAGTATTTTTTTACCAATTAAAGAGCTGGATTCTTCATCAGAAAGTCCTCTCAAGTAATTTTTAGAAAAAAATAATTATGAAACAAGTTCATTAGGAATTTACAATTAGAAAATTAACTGAATTAGGAAAACTGTTAGGGAACAGAATGTCACAATTGGTTTTTGAATTTCGTCGAAAGGACTTTTGCAACGAGAGGATATTGTACTCGTGAAATGTGAAATAAATGAAAAGATATTTACCATTCTTTTCATGTATTTGGACAAGGGACTTGAAGGACTGCTGTGCTCGAGCGAGACTGTACTGTCCTTGTCCGCCACAGACTTTTCCGCTGCCTGTAGTACCGGGGAACTGAATTCGGGCTTTGCCTTTGACTAATGTTGCGGATATTTGCATGATGAGGGCCTCAACCGTGTAGGCCGAACTCCAGCCCTGCTTTGTCAACAGCTCCATGCATATGGCTCCTCCCAGTAGGACATATCCGCCAGAAATAATGGGGTGCACCACTCGTACAAATGGAGGCTCGAAAGGATACGTTTCCTTCAAGAAAATTAACATTATTACATTATTACATAATAATAATAATCATCGAGATATTCTGTCTTAAATCAATATTTAATCATTAATTATTATTATTGTCAACGATTTCAAATTCAAACCTTTTGAAAATCAACAACTTATAATAATTAAAGATGACCGAGTGATAAAATCATTATTTTATATTATAAGAATTTTGTTACTGTAACTTTTTCAAAATAATTTTCATCATTTCAATTCAATTATTATTTTCTACAAATTTTAACTAAAATTCTAAATCAATTTTATTTTTAATAATTTTTGAAAAAGTTCATTAGGAATTTTTAAATCTATTTGTTCACAATTCAATTTTAGGAAATTTCGATTATTCAGAAATTGTGGGTAAGAATTCCTGAAGTGGACCCCTAAATTTTTTTGGGTCGGTGAATTTTTCTCATTTTTATATGTATCGATAGCATATGATGGTATAATCGAGGATCAGCAATTATTACCCTTCTTCAATTAAATATTATTAGAAAATAACAACTTTCAATAATAATTTAAAAAACAATTCAATTAAACTTTTTCAAATAAAACTCATTCTACAGAATGAGAATTTTAATTAAAAGTATGAAAAATTCCGATTTTCAAAGATTTTAATTTGAAATCTTTTCAAAATTCAATTATTTCAAAAAAAAAATTTCCGCTATAATGCTTTTAATATTCAATTATTATCTAAAATTTTAACTCAAATTCATTTTTAAATCAATTTTTATTAGACAATAAAAAAGAGAATTCAATTATTTAAAATTTTAAATACAAAAATAATTAATTTATTGAATAATTGAATGTTTAGTAAAATTTAATTTTCATAAAGAATTCTATCAACTAATTTTTAAACAGGGTTGCCACAAATATTTAATTTTATTTTTACTCCTGATTTCCAGACAAAATATTCACTTTTTCGATGACCCTAAAGAATATTCTGATTCACTCTAAAAATTCTTAGATACTCAAAAAAATGTTCTATTACATTTATTTACAAATTTCTTTAATTTTAAAATTGTTTAAAAACATCAATAACTTCTTTAATCAATATAATCAATATAATTCAATATAATCATTATTATTTTTCCGTAGGAATTAAAATTTTTCAAAACATTTAAATTCAAACCTTTTTGAAATTCAACAACTTATAAGAATATTATTACAAAACATGAAGAAGGCGATTTAAAAAAAAAATGTAATAAAATTCGTTTTGCAAGAATTCAATTATTTAAATTAAAAAATAAATATAATTTATTGAACAATTAAATGTTTGTTAAAATTAAATTCTCATAAAGAATTTTATCAACAAATTTTTAAATAATTGAATTCTTTTGACGAATTTTAATAAAATTTTTAAGAATAATTACATTTTTCGAGGAATTGGATTAAAATTGTATAAAAAATAATTAAAATCCTGCGATGAATTTTATTATTTATGAAAATAATTAAAATTTTCCCAAGAATTTTATTAAAATTTTTCTAAAATAATTGAATTTTGGAGAAGAATTTTATTATTTATAAAGATACTTAAAATTTTGACAAGATTTTTTTTTTTAATTTTTGAACATATAATTAAATTTCTGCGAAGAATATAATAAAATTACTTTTGAAAACAATTGAATTCTTGAAAAGAACTTTGTTAAATTATCTTAACTAATTGAATTCTTGCGACGAATTTTATAAAAATCGTTTTAAATAATTCATATTTTTCGAAAAATTTTACGAAATTTTGTATATTAAATAATTGAATTCCTGTAAAAATTTTATTACTTATGAAAATAATCTAAATTATTTCGAAGAAGTTTATGAAATATTTTGTAAATAATTGAATTTCTGTGAAATTTTGCCAAAAGTTTTATTAAAATTTTTCTAAAATAATTGAATTTCGGAGAAGAATTTTATTATTTATAAAAATAATTGAAATTTTGACCAGAATTTAAAAAAAAATTTTAAACATAATTGAAGTTCTGCGAAGAATTTTTGTAACTTTTATTATTTATGAAAATAATTAAAATTTCCCTAAAATAATTGAATTTCGGAGAAGAATTTTATCATTTATAAAGATACTTGAAATTTTGACAAGAATTTTTAAAAAAAATTTTTAACATAATTGAATTTCTGTGAAGAATTTTATTATTTATATAAATAATTGAATTCTTGAAAAGAAGTTTGTTAAATTTTTCTTAAATAATTGAATTCTTGCGACGAATTTTATAAAATTTTTTTTTAATAATTGATATTTTTCGAAAAATTTTATGAAATTTTCTATTTTAAATAATTGAATTCCTTTGAAACATTTATTACTTATGAAAATAATTGAATTATTTCGAAGAAATTTATTAAAACTTTTGTAAATAATTGAATTTCTGTGAAATTTTGCCAAGAATTTTATTAAAATTTTTAAAAATAATTGAATTTCGTAGAAGTTTATTATTTATAAAGATAATTGAAATTTTGACAAGAATTTTTTTTTAGTTTTTGAACATAATTGAAATTCTGCGAAGAATATTTATAACTTTTGAAAATAATTGAATTTCTGGAATCATTTGTAACTTTTCCAAAATTCAATTTTTTCAGTATTTTTACTAAAAATTCCTGACTTCCCTAACCAATTTTACTTTCTCTGACTTTTCCCTGAATTTTCTGACCTGTGGCAACCCTATTAAATAATTAAATTCTTTCGACAAATTTTAATACAATTTGTAAGAATAATTATATTTTTCGAGGAATTTGATTAAAATTGTATGAAAAATAAGTGAAATTTTGCGATGAGTTTTATTATTATTTATGAAAATAATTAAATTCCCAAAAAATGGTATAATTTACTGAATTGAGGAAAATTTTCGAAAATTACGAATAAGAAGTATATTTTTGTCAATTTTAGGCGAAACGTGGGTGTTTTTGTCATATTTACTCTTTGATACGAAGGGGATTTTTTTTTAAAAAAAGGGTGTAGAAAAGACACAAAAAATATTTTTAAATTGTAATACAATTAATCATAAACTTGTTACTGGCGGGTTTTTGGGGTCGCTGATTACGAATCTGAAGTCGGATTTCAAAAATTAAAAATGGCGGATCCAATATGGCGCACGAGTTTTAAAAAACTGATAGAATTCATTTGAAACTCGTTACTTGGGGGTTTTTTTAATTCGTAAATATAAAAATGGTATATTTATATAACCGAAACACCCCCATTTCGCCTAAAATCGACAAAAATATATTTCTTATTCGTAAAAATGCACAGTTCCACCATTTAAATAAAAATCCCAAATGGCCCAAATATAAGCCTTAGGGAACCACCTCCTTTAACATTTAGAAACTTTATAATTAATTTTATTGAAAGTAACGTAAAATTATTGTAATAAAAAATTTAATTTTAAGCAGAAAATAATATAGTTCGCTCATTTGAAATTTTGAATGTTCTGAACTTTAGGATCATTTCTCAAGTATTTACTTTTAATAAACAATAAACTCAATAAATATCTGAAAAAAATAAATACCTTAAAAAGCATGTTGAGTAAAATACTGTCTTTTCCTTCTTTTTCTTTAAGAAGTACGAGATCATTGTGCAGAGGCGAATCAGGATCCACACACATTAGTTTAATATTCCATTCATAGAGACTGTCATTAACTAGTTCTATGCTGTACATGCCTGAAATGAAAGTGAAAAATATTATTTTTAATAGTTGGAGTAATGTGTAATTTTGTTAAAATATACGTCACTTATGAACACCCAAGTAATCTGTAAACTTTCTAAAAACTTGCAGCAAGCTTACTGGCTACTTGGGCATTATATTCAAATTCCAAAGAAAGGTCCCTGAGAAGCAAACAATTTTAGGTTATGTTTGTAATTTTTAAAATGAAAACACAAAAATATAAATCGCCAATTTTTAAGTATTCGTTGCATCAAAACTAATTAATAAAAACTGTCTTTAGTTTTATGTAATTAAACAGAAAATTTTAATTAAGCTAAAAATAACACAAACATAACCTTAAAATTCCTTGTTTCTTAGGTACCTTTCATCAAAGCGCGTGAAATTTAATTTTTCTTTTTCTTTTAATAGAAAATTATGTTGTTGGTCTTGACTGTCCGTCATATTCTTCCTTAATTTCTACATATATCTTATATTTACAAAATAAAAATAGTTCCTATGTTGAATACTCTTTTTTAAGAATCACTCACATTCCTTTAAAAATTCGTAATTTATTTTCGATCAAATAAATTTTTGTTGATAAAAATAAAATTTGATTGTAAAAAGTGAAATTTAAGATTAAAACATTTAATTTGGGTTTAAAAGTTCAAAAAATGGGTTTTAACATTAACAGGCGTGGCACTCAGTAATTAATTTTTTAAAAAAGTAGAAAAAAGTATCTTTCAGACTGAAAAAAACAGTAAAAAAGTGGCTATCGAAAAATTAAATTTGACGACAAAAAAACTCATTTCACTCGATTCACAAAATCCACAAAAAATTTGATTCTGTATTTCCCCGATTTTCACAGAAAATATTCACTTTTTTTCTTATTCTGGTAATAATTTCAATTAAAAAATTTTTATGAAAGTCAATTATTTTCCAAACTTTTAGTTAGAATTCTTCAAAAATTCAATTAAATTTAAAAATAATGTTTAAAAGTAAACAAAATAAATTTTTTTAAGTATAAAATTTACTTCAATTAAATTTAACAAAAATTTATAATTAATTGTAAATTTAAATAAATTATCTTAAATCTTTACTTATATATTATTTACTTTATATTTATATTTATATTAACTTAATATTCAATTACAATCTACGATATTAACTGATATTCATTTTTTAATCAATTCTTATTAGAAATTTCTACAAAAATTCAATTATTTAAATACAGAAAATAAATAATTGATAGAATAATTGATTATTTCTTAAAATTTAATACTTATAAAGAATTTTATGAAAAAATTTTGAAAATAATTGATTTCTTACGAAAAAAGTTAATAAAACTTGAAAATAATTACATTTTTCAAGGAATTCATTTCAAATTGTGAAAATAATTAACTTCTTTCTAAGATTTTTATTAAAATATTTTAAATAATTGATTTCTTTCGTAACATTTTCTTGAAAATTGGATTTCAAAATTCCTGCGAAAATTATATTATTTATGATAATAATAATCGTTTATTTTTTTCCGTTGTTGTAATTTGTTAAAGTTTTTTAAATCGATTATCGGAAGAGTAGTAAATGAAACACTTGTATCATTTGTATCATTTACTACTCTTCCGATAATCGATTTAAGAAACTTTAACAAATTGTATTATTTATGATATTAATTGGATTTTTGCGTTCAACTTTTATTAATTTTTTTCTAAAATTGAAAATATTTCAATTTCAGCGAAGAATTTTATTATTTGTGAAAGTAATTGTATTATTGTTTCTAAATATTGTATAAAAATTTTTGAAAATAATTTAATTTTTATAATTTAATTGTTTTAAAGATAATAAAATTCTTTCTTGCGACAAATTTTATTAAAAGTTTTTAAAAAATTGAAATCTTTCGAGAAATTTAATTAAAATGGCATTGCATGTTGTTATTAATGAAAATAATTTTGTTGAATTATTTATTTAAATTTTTTTGAAAACAATTGAATTGTTGCGAATAATTTGATCACAATATTTGAAAATAATTAAATACTTTTGAAGAATTTAATTAAAATTCTATTACAAAAAATATAATTCTTATAAAGAATTTTAAGAAAATTTTTAAAAATAATATATTTTTGTGAAGAATGTTATTAAATTTTTTTTAAATAAATGAATTACTATACGAACAATTTTATTATTATGAAAATAATTGAATTCTTCTTAAAAATTTCATAAAAAATTTTCAAAATAATTGAATTGTATCAAAGAATTTTATTAAAATTTTTGAAAATAATTCAATTTTTTATTATGAAAATAATTGAATTTCTACGAAGAATTTATTGTTTATGACAATAATTGATTGACAATAATTGATTTTTTACGAAGAATTTTATTAAAATTTAATTATAATTGAATTTTTTTAAAAGCATTTAAAATAATTTAAAATAATTGAATTCTTAAAAATTTTATTAAAGGTTGTCAAAATAATTGAATTGTTTCAAAGAATTTTCTTAAAATTTTTGATAATAATTGAATTCATTAGAAGCGTTTGATTAACATTTTTTAAAATAATCGAATTTTATTAAATTTTTTTTAATTATTGCCTTGAAAATTGTATTTCAAATAATTGAATTCCAGTAAAAATTTGATTATTTATAATAATTGAATTTTTGCTTTGAATTTAAATTATTTTTTTCTAATGTAATTCAATTCTTTTGGGAAATTTTATTAAAATATTAGATATTGAAAATATTTGAATTTCAGCGAATAAATTGATTATTTTTTGAAAAGAATTGAATTCTTGCAAAAGATTTTCCAAAAATTTTTAAAATAATTGAATTGTTTCAAAATATTTTATAAAAATTTGTTAATTCTTTTTTAGAAGAATGTTTATTAAAATTTGTAAGAATAATTTGTTTGTTTCAACTATTAGCGGCTGTAGTCTAAATTAGTCTAAATTTTCAACAAAAAAAAGTAGCTTTTGTTGTCACTTTAAAAAAAGTATCCAAATAGTGTCCAATCGTGAAAAAAGTAGTAAATAGTAGATTTTAGTAGATGAGTGCAAAGCCTGCAGGTTTTTCCAGACTAAAAAAAAATTCCATGACAATTCCAGGTTTTCCATGACCGCATCAGCCCTAATTTAATCAAAAACTGCAAAATAAAAAAAATTACAGTAAACAAAAAAAAATATTGTACCTTTTTTAAAGCTATCACTTCGATAGATATCGCGCAATTCTTTCATAAGTCTATCTGTAGCTTGAACGCTGCCAGAAACGGAACCCTTTAAGTAATCTTGTCTCTGGTTTTGTCTCAACCTCTCTAAAGTCGCTAGGTGTTCCAACGCCATTTCTTCTCCCTTTGAAAGAAAGAAAAAAACAATATTAATATATTTATCGTTCAAAAAAAAAAAAAAAAAAAAAAAAAAAAAAAAAAAATTAGTTTAATTTTTGTACCTAATAAAAAAAGGAAGAACATACTTTGCTTTTAGCGTTGGTCTCGCCTTCATCCATATCGAGGTGAAGGTCTTCCTCGGCTTCACTTTCTTCGTCATCGTCAAGGTCTTCAGTGTCCTCCGCTTCCATCCTCTGTGGCACCGAAGCTGTCGCTCCCAAACGAAGGGGATCCAAAGCTGTTCTAAGACGTTCAACGTCTGGTGGTTCTGGTAGGGAATGTAGGCGGCACAATTCTTTCAAAAGTATTCCTACCTGGTTAATGACGTGATTGTCACGTCCAGTCGTGTTGCTCAATATTTGAACCGCATTCGTGACACTGGTTTCCTCAGATTCGGCGAACCACACTGGCGGGGTTGAAGGATAAGTTTCCTAAAAAATAAAAGTGATGATAACTTCACATTGACTTCATTTTACTTATTAATTTTACAATATTTGTAACAAAGGGACAATTCAATTAATTTACAAAAATAGTTCAAATATTTTTGTTATCCTTTTTATCATCAAAAATTTATTTATTTATTAATAAATTTCATTTATTTTATTTATTAATTTTACAATATTTATAAAAAAAAACCGTTAAATTAATTTACAACAATAATTAAAATATTTTCCTTATCCTCTTTATCATCAAAAAATATTTTCTAAGAATAATGAAAAAGAAATAAAAAGACCTGACATCACGATTTCTTAGAAATAGAATTCATAATCAAAAAAATAAAATTTTAAGAGATTTGTACTTTTTAGGAACCTGAAATTAGAAATTTATTTATTTCTTCTTCATTTAAAAATTTTATTCCAATTACTTTGCGTTATTATTAAAAATAATGAAAATAATTTTAAAAATACTAAAGATATAAAGATTTTAAATGTAAAATTTAATTTTCCAATTTTTATTGCCATCAGTAATTTAAAAAAATATTTTCAATAAACAATATTTCGTTCATTTGAACGTTAAAAACTTGAGAATCATATAGAGACATAAATATTCTTCATTGGTAATTTGTATATTGTATTTATGTTCTGCAATTGTACTTGTTTTTGAAAAAACAAATTTTTAAAAAATCTAAAATATAAAAAAAATTATATACAGTGACCTTTTTATTAAAAAAAAAGGTGAAAAAAGTATGAATTATTTTTTAAAAATAGTTGACAGGAAAGTGACAAAAAATCGCATAAAATAAAGTTGTATGCAAAATAAGCAAATAAGCAAATTTTTCAAAAATATTTTTATTAAATTTTCAAATTATTTCAATTATTTTAAAAAATGTTCATGAAAAGCTAATAATAAATTCAATTACAAAAATTTTTAATAAAATTCTTTGAAAAAATTCAGATTCAATAATTTTTTAAACTTTTAATTAAATTTTTAAGAAGAATTCAATTATTTTTAAAAATGTTAATTAAATGCTTCTAAAGAATTTAAATATTTAAAGATTTTTTTAAATTCTTCGCAAAAATTCAATGATTTTCATTAATAACAAAAAACTTCGAAGGAATTCAATAATTTTTATAATTAGCAACATTTCAAATTATTTTTATATTGATACAATTCTTTAAAAAAATTCAATTATTTTCAATACAATTTTAATTTTTATAAAAAAAAGTTTAATTATTTTCAAAAGAATACAATTGTTATCAAAAATTTTAATAAAATTCTTTGAAACAATTCAATTATTTTGAAAAATTTTAATAAAATTTCTCCAAAGAATTCAATTATATTAGAAAAAAATTAATATAATTCAAAGCAAAAATTCAATTATCATAAATAATCAAATTTTTATTGGAATTTAATTTGAAATACAATTTTCAAGAAAATAATTCAAAAAAATTCAATTGTTAAAAACAAATTTAATAAAATTCGATGATTTTAAAAAATGTTAATCAAATGCTTCTAATGAATTCAATTCTTATCAAAAATTGTAAGAAAATTCTTCGAAACAATTCAATAATTTTGATAACCTTTAATAAAATTTTTAAGAATTCAATTATTTTAAAAAATGTAAATTAGATGCTTCCAAACAATTCAATTATAATTAAATTTTAATAAAATTCTTCTCAAGAAATCAATTATTATCATAAATAATAAATTCTTCGTGGGAATTCAATTATTTTCATAATAAAACAATTGAATTATTTTCAAAGATTTTAATAAATTTCTGTGCTAAAATTAAATTATTTTGAAAGTTTCTAATAAAATTTTTAAGAAGAATTCAATTATTTTCAAAAATATTCAATTATTTTTAAAAATGTTGATAAAATTATTTGAAAAAAAATTCAATTATTTGGAAAATTTTTATTAAAATTTTTAAGAATAATTCAATTATTTTAAATAATTTTAATAAAATTCTTTGTAGAAATTAAATTATTTGCAAAAGAATTCAATTATTTTTTAAAATCTTAATAAAATGCCTTCAGAAAATAACAAAATTCAATGCAATTTTTTTTCAATTACATTCTAAGCAAAATTTCAATTAATTTTCTGATTAATAAAATTCTTCACAATAATTCAGTCATCTTTAGTACAATTTTAAATAAATTTCTGAAAAGAATTTAATTATTTTTAAAAATTTGTAGAAAATTATATACAGGAATAAAATAAGTTTAGATTCAAAATTATAAAAGTAACAAAAATATTATAATAATTTCAATAATTAAAAATTTTTTTAAAAATATTTATATCAAAATAATATTCTTTTCATTTAAACGTCAAGAATATTTTTAAAAATAATTTATTTACTTAAGTTTGGACGGAAATATTATATATAAATATATAATATTTATATCAAACGAATATTTTGCTCATTTAAAAGTTTAGAATTTTTGAAAGATGTCAAAATAATTCAATTCTTGCGACGAATTTTATTAAAAGTGTTGAATATAATTAAACTGTTTCTAAGAATTTCATTCAAATTTTTGAAAAAAATTAAATTCTAATAAACAAATTTATCAACATTTTTGAATATAATTGAATTCTTTAAAGAAATTTTATTAAAATTGTGTTGAAAATAATTCAATTCTTGCATCGAATTTAATTAAATTTTTTTTAAATTAAATGAATTTTTTCGAATTATTTTCTTGAAAATTGGATTTCAAAATTCTTGTAAAAATTTGATTATTTATTAATTGAATTTTTGCTTTGAATTTTATAAAAATTTCTTCAATTATTGTTTGTAAGAAGAATTTTATTAAAATTTAATTATTAAACAGAAAAATCTATTTTTGAATTTTTTTTCTAAATATTATAATTTTTATGCATAAAATATATAATTCATAAAAATCGCATTTAGTTTATCATCAAGTTTTGCTAAATTGTTCCTAAAAAATATTAAAAAATACATAAATTAAAGTTTTAATTTATTGAATTTGAAATTGATTGTGATTAAAATATGAAATTTATATTGTTCAAAATTTGTAGAAATTGCAATTTAAATTTAAGCTTAATTAAAAATAAGATGAATCGAAAGTTCAGAGATTAAAAATGTCGAGGAATTAAATTCAAAGTGAACCAAGATTACAATCGGTGAAAGTTTAAAAAAAAATTAAAATTATGGTTTATTAAAACATACATTAATTGAAAATTTTTAGAATTTAAACTGTTAATTAAAAATATTTCAAAAATTTACAAAATAGATGAAAAAGGTGAAAAAGTTTCAGTCTGTAATCCATGGATTTAAATTAAAAAAAAAAAAAAAAAAAAAAAAAAAATCTTTTGCGGATCATTTAAAAAAATATATCCCAAAATGATAAACGACAGGAAAAAGGTTAAATTTTTTAAAGCGAATTTATCAAAAGTCAATACGCAAATATTAAAAATCTTAGACATCTCCTTCCGTTTTCATAACCATGCAAACTTTACTTTACGAAACGAATCGTACACTTGGTCTTATCTCGTTGAATTACCGTACTTTTTCCAATTCTACTATTATAAGAACGTTATTTAATTCCTCAGTCTTACCTAAGAACTACTAAATTTAAATTCCCTCGTAACTCGGAATTAACAATCTATCTCTCTCTCTCTCAAAAAAAAAAAAAAAAAAAAAAATAATGAAAAATATCAAAATTGTTCCAATGATTCAACGAATAATAACAAAATTTTACTACCGGATTCAAATAATCCTTTTTCAAAATAATAACAAACAATAATAGATTTTCTTTATTTACTCTCAAAGATTTCTTTTTTAGTTCACAATCGTTCAAGTATGTATTCAGCCAATAATTTATATTTACAAACAAGATTGCATAACACTTCAATTAATAGATTTCTTGACATTTCCAATAAATACAGAGTTGACTATCGGTATAATACCGTTGAATATTTTCAATATGTCAATTTATTAGCATTATATTATTATGAATACACACATTTCAGACTCTGAATATTTTTCACGTTCATTATTTTGGATTTTTCAAATCTCACTTTTTTTCTAAATATGTAAAATCATCAACTTCGAGAAAAATACAACGAATAATATACGATAACATTAAAAAAGAAATTTAAATTATTCTTCTAATAAAACATGATAATTTTTTTAAATAACTTTTTTTTAATAGTTGACAATGTTTTTAAAGAGGTAAGAACTTTATGCTTTACTAAGTACATTTTTTTAATGTTTCAATGTTTTATCTAAAATTAGAGATACTGCAACAATGAGCACAAAAACAGTTCTTAATAATTGTAAATTCATATTTACACCCAGGGCTGATAAAAATCATGATTTTTTTAAAAATTCAAAACAATACAATTTTTTTATTTAAATCATTTTTTTATACTATTTTTTAAATATTTTAAATATTTTAATTATTTTAAGCAGTTCGTTTTTTTAATATTAAAAATTATAAAATTAATAATAATAATAATAAGATGGCTGCAAAATTTTATTTTCAGAATTCTCTGACATTTCCTGACTAAGTTTTTGGTTTCCCTGATTAATAAATTTTTAAATTATTTAATATTCTGCATTGATAATTAAAAATTTAATAATGCTTTTTAAGTAACAATTTTATTTATTATAAAGAAAAAGTTTATTATTTTTTATTAGTTATTATCATTTTTTCTCATCTATTGTAATACAATTGGTTTTATTAATTTATATTTATTTGTTGATATATTTATAGAGCCAATTGTATTACAATAGATAAAAAAAATGATAATAACTAATAAAAAATAATAAATTACCGTTTCTTGCTTTTTCGAACATTTTTCAAAAATTTATAAAAAAAATAAAAATTAAAAAGTTTGTTAAATATGTAAGAGGATTTCATTCTTTGAACACTTTAAAAGAGGAACATAATGGACCGACTCGAAAAAAAATTTCCTATAGATTTTATATTAAATTTAAGAAAAATAGTTGTTTTCCTATTTAAAATAT